AAGAAAGGCACTCCTGGCCAACCCTATCCCTAACCACAGCCATCTTGCTACCGAGACCCCAGCCCCCCCCCGCACTGTCAGTCCCAAATTGCCAAAAGAACCCAAAATTAAAAATCCCTAATTACCTAAACGTACCTAAACGCAAAAGGAAGTAAAAATCAGACCCTATCTATTACTTCAAACCCTATTTACTCCAACCCTATTTACTACTATCCAGTCATCAAAAAACATGCAAAAACCAATCAAAGATTACTGAAATTGACTCGAACCCTAACCCTATCTATTACTCAAACTCTATCCTGATACACCTATTCACGTTTTCACGAAAAATTGTAAATCACATTTAACACGTCGAAATCGTGATACACCTGTTCTACACCAACAGAGGTTATAGGTTCAGCAATCCGACCAGGAAGAAACCCAATCCCGTTATAAACTGAATCCAACTCATCATCCATTCAAAGCCGCAGGCTATAGAACAAAAATCAACCACAGTGTTCTCTCTCTCTCTCTCTCTCTCTCTCTCTCTCTCTCTCTCTCTCTCTCTCTCTCTCTCTCTAAACACTAAAATCTAATACCCGTTCCAATCATGTACAACCCAACAATTATGCTGTTCGTAAACACAATAGACAATCCTCAGAGCTCCAAGGATTAGAAGGTCTTGAGCAACACAACGTCCAAAGCAGGAGCATCAGCGACAGTGGACAATCCCTGGTCGTAACTGAAGCCCCGGCTGAGCATTTTGTCAGCGTTGTAGGCGATACCATTCGCAGAGTAAAATCCATCATCTCTCTCCCGGAAGTCGACGTTTTATCGATGCACTCTATTCCATCATCTCCAGCTCGTCACTCGGATGAAATTGCATCCACCACCAGAACTCTTCATCGCCACCCAATTTTCCAAAGAAGAACTAACACTACTTACCACAACGAATGTTCCATATCTGCAACCAGGGGCAAACCCCTGATCAGTTGAAAATACTGATATGACGCGACGCACGGATCCCGCCCGTTGACCGTCCTCACATACACACTCTCCTACCACAGCCAACTAGGAATGCCAACTAGATATAGACCAGGACCAGGTAACGACGAGAGCACGGTAATGCTCTCTTGAGACAAGACCCACCGTGGCGCCCATACACCCTCTTCCCCATCGTCCCCGCCGCCCCAATGACCAGCTCTGGCTGTGCCCTGCTACTAGCGCAGCAGCGCTATGCGATCCCCTATCGCCCGTGCGTCGCGTGTAATAGCGACGCGCTAACGCAGCGTTACCGCTGCGCTAGCGCGCAACTTCTTTGACAACTTTTTGAAAAAGAGGTCGCATTTTCATTATAGAAGCCGGAAAACGGGTCCGGCGTCCCTCACATCCAAAACAGAGTTAGTGGCCAA